AGTACCAAAAATATACACAAATATTACTTCCTGTGTTAATCTTATAACACCTTACAGTCAGTATCAAACTTACAACAACTGAATTGCAGATCTTAACACTAAAGCAGCGAGGACCGTTTATAAAATCTGAGAATCTGTGAGGCTGTGGTGGTTCGTTGTTTTACAGCATGTTATTACATTTATTTTACGAGGACTTGCAACTCGGTACTCTATAAAATACTTTACAAGGCTAGAGTATGACATACCTTATGACGAAATTCTGCAAGATTTTAAACTGCTGGGATCGTTTGTTAAGCTATCAAGGGTGAGGGCTGGCACTGAAATAAATGTATGTATTAATATGACCTTGTTAAAAAAAAGTATTGGTTTAAAACATGTTGAATGCAGAATATCAATGCATCTAAGTGTAAGATGAAAATAATTTCTTATCTTATTTTTAAGAGTACAAATCAAACATACCGTTATAAGCGGACTGATTTACTCTCTGTATTAGTAAATATGATCACGTGATTCATGCAACCAATCACTGAAGATGAAGGCAGCAAAAATACTATGGTTGTTCAGAGGCAAGGTTTCTGAAACAGAGTAACGGTTTATATGAGTTCGAAGGGATCCAAAAATGTCGACTAGTTCAGCTCTCAGTTGCTATTATGTGGACTCTATTATGGGGCACGACACGGAGGATGTGTACGGAGCGCGTTATGTCCAGGGTTCACACACCGCGCCCTCGAGGCCGTCAGGTGTGGTGGAAAATGCGGACTTTTCCTCGTGCAGCTTCGCTCCCACGTCAACCGTGTTCCCTGCGTCCTGGACCTCGGTTCATCAACCATCTACTGCTGCTGTGTCCGGAATTTACCATCCATACGTTCACCAGACCCATCTTTCAGACAACAGATACGTCCGCTCCTGGATAGAACCAGTCTCAAACCATATCTCTCTATCGGGGTTCCACTCTAGTAGTCGGCACAGCGGCACAAAGACTGAAAGTTTACCCTCGAAAAGGACTGAAAGCGCGACGTTTGAAAGAGAAACGCCGGTGATTCCCGAGTATAGTTGCAACGCTGTATCCGAGAGCGTAGACAAAGCGACTGAAGAAACGGTTGCAAATGATATTTCGAGGCATGATGAACCTAAAGACGAAAAACAACAACAACTTGACCCAAGTAAGTAAAATGAATTGCCCCTTGATTTACAACCTTCCAACTGTCCCAAACTGGAGGCTTTACAAACCTATAAAAGTGTCCGGGCTCTTACCACGGGCCGAAATATTGCCTTCGTCTGTATAGTGAGAATGCTATATATATATATATATATATATATATATATATATAGCTTATTGATACAAATAGTTGCATTCACATACACACAATTTTTTATGGATAAATATTAACGTATAGCTAGCTCCCTTTGATATTGCCAGTCTAATCAAGTGCTCTAATCAATTGTGGACGTAAAGCTTATTTACGTTTTTTTTTTTTTTTTCAGGCAACCCTGCAGCAAACTGGATCCATGCGAGATCAACAAGAAAGAAACGTTGCCCGTACACAAAATATCAGACTCTGGAATTAGAGAAGGAGTTCCTTTTTAACATGTATTTAACGAGGGATCGTCGTTATGAAGTTGCACGAATCCTGAATTTAACAGAACGGCAGGTTAAAATCTGGTTTCAGAACAGAAGAATGAAAATGAAGAATATATATAATTCAACAGAAGATATGCCATATATATGTGAGTTATTATGTGAGTGACTTGAAATGAATGGGTAGCGTATTCCACAATAAATTATACAGTAGCTTGGCTTAAAACGTCTAAAATCGGTTTCCTAGCACCATCATTCAGGATCTGAGAATTCAGTGTCCTATCTTTCAAAGTAAAATTCAGCGTCAGAAGTTACTTATCCTTATTCATAAAAATCCTACCACTAAAATGTCTTATAGGAAATTAGGATATGGTTCGTGGTCTGATCAGTTTTGAATGTGAACTTTAATTCTGTCCATAATGCATGCAAAACCCGCTCTTCACCTTCATGCAGCCACATGTAATAATTTACTGTGCCGTTAATTTCTCTTTTTTAAATTGGTCATTACGTACAATCTCATATTTCTAATCTCTCGTTTCAAAACTAGTGTTTTTCTAGTTGAAGCTCTTGCTGGTGTGGTAGATGCATCAATACATCAGTGTTGTATAGTGAATTTGGGTGTAGACAAGCTTGGTTAAATACTCTACTCGTGCACCTACTGTGAAATTGTTCTCTTTTTACACCGTTTTACAAATAAATTGCATATTCGACTGCACACTGCTATATGTACAGGCCTTTTAAATAAAGGTTTGTAATAAATACGTTTTTATATACGGTGCTACGACCTGCGACAAGACTCATTTTGATTCATGCTGAACACAAAATACAGATTCATTGTTAGGTAATATTGAAAAAAAAAGTTTATGATTAGGAAAAGGTGTTGCAAAGAACCCCAATTTATCGTCAAACCTGTACCAAGAATTGCTTTAGAGCAGGAAGAAATTGGGTCCAATAAAGCTATAGAAAGAGCCAGACGTCTGGTCTAAATGAGTTTATGGTATAGGACTGTAATTGCTCTTCTCTTTGAAACTAACCTCACTGGTTCTTTGTCTGTTACTTGCACACAAAAACGTAGACACTTCTACGGGGCGTCTGGTCGATGTATTGATGGTGAGACTAAAGCGCCATCGACCCCCCCAGTACACTGAAAGTCACGTTTATTCACGAAATGCATCTCTACTCTACAAACCTTAAAGCTGACAATCGTTTGGGGTGTTGCTATTACAACAAAATGCAACAGGGATGTTTCCATCTTAGAAAAAAGGTCGACATAACATCCAATTATATACTTATGACAAGCTGAGTAGAGGTAAAATATCAGCGTCTAGCTGTCATGCATTCGTTGCATCACCTATTTTTCATTCTGAACAAATAGACTTCAAAATATATTTAAATGCATGGGAACGTGACTGCAAAAAAGAAACATGTATGTATCCCGCAATTTTCAAAGAATGCAAGAATAAACAGGGGTGCACATTATTGCCACTAGAGGGCATAGCTGTTCTGTGAAAATAAAGGGCTGCGCGTAGCTGTGCACATTTATTTACAGGAGCTTAATCGGATATCAAAACAGGGCAACTACTGGAAAATTAGTTACATTCGAATTTGCTTCCAGAAAGTTAATATTTCGGGACAAACATATGCGCTCAGTTCTCCCATGGTTAAGGTGCATCCGTATTTGCAGGGTCTGTTTTGAATAATACTATATATGGGTTGAGAAAGGACAAGGAATTTGGCCATTGGGCATGTATCTCAGTATGGAGCACTGTGTGGGTTAGTTATGGCTAAACAGATAAATGTATGTAGATGACATTTGTGGATAGAATTTATTATATTATTACGATT